CATGAGGTTTTTAATTTGAAATATCTCTGATTTTTAAATGTAGGTAGCCATTGCTATAAACTGCCCTCATACAACTGCTTTTGGGGGATCAGGAGAGGCACATTGGAAGGAGAAAAAGCTACTGAGTAGTAAGATTGGTCAGAAATGTTATGTGCATTTCTGTATATGGTGTAATGAATCCCACTGTTATGTATACATATGATGCCTCAATAAAAGAAAAGGGAAAAAAAGAACTGCTTTTACTGTATCCCATAAATGTGTGGATGCTGTGTTTCAATTATCATTTGATTCTGAGGTTTTTAAAACAATTTTCTCCCTTTGATTATGCAAATATATTGTTAATTCTTCAAGTGTTCATGCAGTTTCTGTAGTTTTACTTCTTAATTATCTCATTATTTCATACATAATATTTGGGTTTATTTTGAAATAATTATACAAGCATTGTGTATATTTTTTTTTCCAATTTGGTCCTCAGTACTCTCCCTTTCCCTCCTTCTGTTATCTTTCTTCTACTCCACTGATCTTTCTTGTATTTATTTGTAGTTGTTTTAATTAGTGCATTATTGATATACATAAAGGTCAAGTTCAGTGTGATATATTCCTAAGTGCACACAGGAAAGTTTGTTCAGGTTCATTCCACCACACTTCCTTTGGCAGTCCCTCCATCCCTCTCAATCTCCTTCCTCTGCTCCACTGACCTCTCTTCTATTTTCATGGAATCTCCCCCAAATTTCCCCTTGTTTTATGAGTGAAAAGAATATATTCAGTTTGAGCTATTTCATTTAGCAGGGCATTTTCCAGTTCCATTCATTTAGTAGCAAACACCATTATTTGTTTCTCAAAGATGACTGAGTAGAACTCCATTATGTATGTATGTCACATTTTCTTTATACATTAATCTGTTGGTTGGCACTTAGGCTTTTATTGATAGCCTGTCTATTTTGAATTTTGCTGCCATAAACTTCGATGTGGCTGCATCCCTATAATAAGCTGACTTTAAATCTTTTTTTTGAGTATATACCAAGGACTGGGAGTTGGATAATACCTAATGTTTTGAGGAATCTCTGTTGCTTTCCAGAATGTTTGTACTAATTTGCAGTCCCACCAACAATGTACAAGTGTACTTTTTTTCTTCATCCTCATCAACATTTACTATTACTTATGTTCTTGATAACTGTCATTCCGAAGAGAGTAAGATAATATCTCAATGTAGTTTGTATTTCCCAAAGTGCTGGAGATGTTCATTTTTTTTCATGTTTATTGTCCATTTCTATTTCTTTTAAAAGGGATCCCTTTAGTTTTGTCCATTTATTCTGTGGGTTATTAATTTTTTTGGTGATAAGCTTTTTGAGTTCTCTATATATTCTGGATATTAACCCCCATTTCTGGATCAGGTGGCAAAGATCTCCCATTCGATAGGCTCTGTCTTCATGTCTTATTTGTTTCCTTTGGTGTTCAGAAGGTTTTTTTTTTTATTTGATGCCATCCTACTTATTGATTCTTGGGTTTTATTTCTTAGGCTTTAGGAGTTTTGTTAAAGCAATTGATGCTTGTGTAATTATGTCAAAGAGTTCAGCTTACAGTTTTATCTAGCACTTGCAGAGTTTCTTGTGTAATTTGTTCCACTCTGAGTTGATTTTTCTGAGGGTGAGAGATAAGAATCAAGTTTTGTTCTTCATGTGTATATCCATTTTTCGCAGACTCACTTGTTAAAAAGGCTGTCTGTACTGTTTTCTAATAGCAATCCGTTGTGATATGATAAGGGGTGGAGTGAATTATTTTGTATTTATTAAAACTTGCTTTGTATCATAGTATATGATCTGTTTTAAAGAAAGTTTCTTATATTGTGAAAAAGAATGAGTTCTGCTCTTCTCAGATGAAATAATGTGTAGACAACTGTTAAGGTGACATGATGTGAAGTAAAAGTGACGTCTATCTAAGAACTTTTTGTCCACATAACCAGTCACTGGTGAGAGTGGTGTTAAAGTCACCCACACTGATGGTGTTTTTTATTGGGTCCTATCTATATCTTTAGGCTGAATAGTGATTATTTTATAAAATTGGTTGCATTGCCATTCACATATAAATATTTACAGCGATTTATCTTCTTGTTGGATTTTTCCCTTTAGCAGTATGTAGTAACCTTCTTTGCCGCCTTTGGGTAATTGTTGCTTGAAATCTGCTTTGTCAAGTTTGAAAATAGCTACCACTGGGTTTCTTTTTTTCTTTTTCTTTTCTCTCTTTTTTTTTTTTTTGGCTTTCATATACATGAAATATCTTTCCTTTGATCTTATTCTGTGAACATCTTTGCAAGTCAGGTGTGTTTCTTGTAAACAGTATTCATTTGGGTCTTGTTTATTATTTCAGTCTTTCAAGTTGGTAATTAACACAATGTGAATCCATGTTAGAACAGTGAGGCGTGTTTCTTTATATTATAGGATTTACTCTTAATTTTCATTTGCTTATCTACACTTATAGTGACATTTATTCTTTTATATTCTCCCATGATTTATTTTAATCTTGTGTATATAGAATTCCATTGTGAATCTTCTGTGGTGATAGTTTAGTTATCATAGGTCATTTTATTCTTGTCTTGGAAGGTCTTTATTTCTGCTTTTATTTCTGGAGAATAACTTTGATGCAGATAACAATGTAGGCTGGCAGTACTGAAGTAGGACGGATGAAGCTGGACACTAGAGGAATTAGCAGGAAGCAGGTTATTCTCTGCAGCCTGAATGCCGAGTCTAGACATTAGTTGAGCTTTATATCCAGTGGTGGGGAGAGGGGAGCTTGGAGGTACATTTTTGCAGGGGTCTACAGGAAGGCAATTTCTCTTTGTGAGTTCTCGGAAGGTACCTATTGTCTCATTTCTTAGAGCAGTCAGGAATTTTACAGATTATACCACAAAAGCAAATTATATTTATTAAGATCACAAGTAAATTTAGTTTTTGCAAGACGGAGCAGAGCAATAGGAAGTAGGGCATCAAACACATTTGAGCCATTTTGCAAAGATCTTTGCTGATATTTTGTTACCAAGAACAGTTGTGGTGAGGGTCTCTGGAGAAGCTTAATGAAGATGTATTTGTGGAGGAGGGAGAGGGGGTCCAACTACAGTATTTCAGTTTCAGTTCTTGAAATATTGCATGTACTGCTGGCCCTTCGTGTTATCCAGATGTGTTGACAGGGACTAAAGAGCTGAGCGAGAAGAAAGAAGGGACAAGGGACTCGGGGGATCCAAAGCTTGGTGCAGCTCAGGATGTTTATTATTGGCAAGGATAGCATTTTAAAGTTCACCGTGGATTCCCAGCCGTGGAATGCAACCTTGAGGTTAGGCAGACAAAATACTAAAATATGTTTTTTAAAACAATGCTATATTTACATTTATATCCTGAATCTTTATTCTAGATCCATACTAGCAGGTTAGCATAAGATAACAAGAACATTCCCCAAAATAACTCCACCACAAGGGAAGGACATGAAGTACGTCCACAGTCTTAAGAGGAACTTTTGGCAAGTCTGAGCATGTCAACTGAGCATGTGCTGAGAACAGTCTGCTGTCCTTGCTTGCTGTGGCCTGCCAAGAGCTTGGAGGACATTAACTCCTTAACTCTACCACAGTCCTTGAGATCGCAGACACCTCCATCACAGATGCATTACCATTTATCAATGACTTGGTGCTTCTCTCTTGAATTCGTAAAAATCTTTCTTTCCTCTGAATTTCAACCAAAATATAATGCAAACAGGTTCTTTTTTTGTCCATGTTTATTTGGCCTTCTAAATGCTTTCTATGCCTGATGTCCATCTTATTTCCACAATTAAGGAATTTTTTCTGGTGTGAGTTCATCTAATAAGTTTTCTATGTCTTTAGTCTGTATATACACTCCTTCCTTCAAGACCTTAGTCGCAATTGGTCTTTTAAAGTTGTCCTAGAATGCTTGAATGTTCTTTTTAAAGTATCTTCTTTTTATTATTGTAATAAAGTTCTACTTCATCCACTTTGTCTTCAAAACTTAACATTTTTCCTTCTGCCTGATGTCATATACTGGCAGTACTTTCCATTTGGAATTTTATTTGAGTTAATAAACTTATCATTTCCAAATTTTCTGCCTTGCTATTTTTTTTTCAGAAACTCTATTTCCTTGTGGGAATGCTCTTTCAAAACCTGGATTGCCTTCATTAAATTATTTCTTAGTCCTTTAGTTCCTTAAACTATTTTCATAATAAATTGTTTGAATTCTTTGCTCAGCATACCCTACACATCAATGCATGTGGATTCAGTTATTGAAGAATTAGGTACTTTGGGTATTAGTGCCTTGCTCTCTCATGTTTCCTGTTTTAACATGCAGATGTTCAAATAGATTTCTCTTCCCCTCTTAGATGTGGGTCATGTTGTTGAGCAGATTTCTCTTTGTATATGCCCTGGACAGAGTGTAGGTTCTATTTTCAAAGCCCCAACTCATTGAAAGAAGTGCTGGGACCACTAACCCAAAGCACTTTAAGAGGAAAGAATAACCACCAGTAATAGCCAAAATTTAGAAGCAAAGCACATGTTGATTTATAACCAAAGCAAAAACTTTTAAAAATGATCTCTACAATTCCAATATCCAATGAAGAATTGGTAATAATACACAATGCCCAAAATTTAGGCATTAGTGATTCTAAAATTAATACTAAAGTATATAGGAAAAAAAAACTGGTGAGATGGAAGAAAGGAGAATAAGGATGACAAATGAAAAAGAAAAATGGTGCAAATATAAATTAAAAATAAGAAAACAAGTTCAAAGAAAATAAAAGAATTAAAAGATTATATAAATAGTGAAAAACAAGTGATACATAAAAAGTCACTTAAAAAATGCAGTGCCAAGAAAAGTATGTGATTTTCTTATCTGATGTAATTCAAATGTAGACACTTTCTTCCCCAACTTCTAGTTTTAGAATTCACCATTTCGGGGGTGTTTCTGGGGAGCACCTATAGTTGTACTGGTTTCTTCTCATTCTAGCCCAAACAGGCCAATACTGGTTGTAGAGTCTTGAATGTGGAAAAATTTCATCCGTGCCTACCAGGAAGTGTTATAGGACCATTTTCATATGAAGAGGTAAATCATTCAAGATATTGGTTTTTGGGTACCTGGGGATGGAACTCTGGATATAGTAGGGAGCTGTCAACAAAAATCTCACACATGGATCCTGTGGGTCAGTCCATGCTGAAAACCCCAATTCAAGACTTCTCCTTTCAGTGAGCTCAGGATCATGCAAGATTCCAAGTCTCTGTGGTGTTTGTTCCCACTTTGTCTAAGCATGGTAGAGGTGGATGCCTGCAGGATCTGTGCTTGGTTGGAGGAGATTCAGGAAATAGGCTTTTCACAAGACTTTTCCAAGCACTCCAAAAATGTTCTGCCCCACAAAATCATACACAACTCATCTTCTTTTCTGTAACTAATCTCAAAACACCTGTTTTAACAGGGAGATGTTCCCACTGCCCTTCATTTTATAAGGCGGCCAACCAGCACACCATGCTTCTTCCTGCTGACCAAAGCTTTCAACACATCCCTGTTAATCTGAACAAAAATGGTGGGCACCCACAATTCCAGTAAAGAGAGGCAGTCACTGTGTCTTGGAGATGGAAAACATGCAGAGATTCTGACCTCTCAAAGTCCCAGCACCCAAGGAAGTGACTATAATTGCTTTAGTTCTTCCTTCACATGCCTCTCAGCATAGTGAGATGGCCAGACCTGGGAGATTTTAGCACTCCTTTCTGAAGATTGTAGCAGCAAGTTTTCTACCAGAACCAATCCTGACATTCACTGTCAGGATTCCTACAGGCACATTTAATTGAATCTCACCTCTGTTTCTATCCTTTGGTTGACCCATAACCATAATTTTTTGTAATTTTTTTGAGTGGAAACTGATGAATACTCTACCTTCATATATTGGAAAAAGAAAGAAAACTTTTTTTAAAAAAGATTGTTTTATTAAACTAGTTTCCCTATCAGTAAAAGTTTGATGAAAAGATATCTAGATTTCTTTAAGCCTTTGCTTACCTGAATAAAATAGTGGGAACATGGCTTCTTTTCTAATTCATGTGATATAATTCAGTCTCTATAACAAAATATCTTAGTTCAATACTAAAAGCGTATAATTAGAATGTTTTAAATGTTTAATGATAGGTAGCATATTATATATTTTATATATACGAATATGTATGTGTGTATACAAGTTACACATGTTATACATATTATATATGTTATATATACAAGGTCCTCTTATTTTTAGTGGTAAGTGATCAGTAGGGTTAGGTGTAATGAAGTAACTTTCTTGTGGAAATATGCACATTAGTGTGGTTTTGGTAAGTAATTTTCAATGTGTACTTCTCTAGTTTTTATGTCTAATTTATTTCAAATCTGGAAAATTAGGTGTCTCCTTAGAATAGTGATTAGAAAATCTTCATGCAGCTTGTTAGTGATATTAATTTTACCAGATTGTCTCTCAGATTCCTCAGAATGATGTAGGCCATTTGCCTGGTGATGCACATCAAACAGCAAAAGATGATGTCAATGGACATATAGAAGGTAAGGACCACTCATTATAAAATCATGGATAGAATGCTTACGTAGGACATGAGCACTAGTATGTTTTAATAGTGGAATAAATGAAAATAAGAAATAGTAAGGGGATTGAAATAGTGTATCTTGTCAAGTTGCAACCACAGGGTAAGTTGGAGTGTCCCTAGAGGAGCTAAATTATTAGGTCCACTTCCAGACCTGCTTAGATGAGAGGAAAGTTGGGAAATAAGGAAGGGGAGGGGAAGAGTGGGAATGAAGAATGAGAAAAGACTGCAGACATCAACAAAAGAAAAAAGAAGGTGCACATTGGTCATGGCCTGATAAAATGTTCCCTGGAAAGATCATGACTTCTAATGCACCTAAATTTGAGGGACAAGATAGGGAGAATTTCAAATAGGTAAATTAAGTGGCCAGGCACATGGTGGTGCATGCTGTATTCCCAGTAGCTCTGGAGGCTGAGGCTGGAGGATTTTGAGTTCAAAGCCGAGGGGTCTCTCTCATTCAGCGAGGAGGTCCACAGCACAGGGTAGAGGAGAGTGTGGCTGTGGACCAAGCAGGAAGCAGGTCTGATTTTATTGCACAGCTAACAACTATATATACTCAGGCAGTACCTAGGCAGAATATAGGCAGCCACCAATACAATTTCTTGCTAACTGTCCTTGCAGCAACCAGTCGAGGAGTGGACCATGGAGCAAGTGAAGGGACCCCAACACATGGCCTCTCGCCCAGGACTGTGCCTATGGGTAAGCAGCCTGCTGCTCACGTGCCTAGCATGAGGGGAGTGGCCTGCAACTCAGATGCCCTTAACATATGCCATGTATGCAGTATTTCATGTACTTGTCCTCACACAAAGCCAGCTTGGTAACTTAATGAGACCCTCAGAAATTCAGCAAGACCCTGTCTCTAAATAAAATATATATATTAAAAAAAGGGCTGGGGATGTGGCTCAGTAGTTAGGCACCCTGGGTTCAATCCCCAGTACAAATAACAAAATAACAGAGCAAAAAGAAATATTAATTAGGCAAGTCAGAGGAATTGGTCGAAGATTAAGCATGCCAATGAACTCTCAAACTTCAGTGAATCATATGTTGGGGACCATGTACAAAATATATGTTCTGACTCAGCAGGTCTTTGGTTCTACATCTCTAATGGATTCAAAGAAGCTTCTAATGCTCCTCATCCACATGCCACATTCTGAGTTGCAAGAGAATTAACTGCCTTTTAGAAAATCTAAATGAAGGGCCATTGTGTCTTATTTCAGGGCATACCAGCACAAGTGAAAGCGTAAATCTTGCTTTCTTTCAGAGCATGTCTGTTGGAAAAGGGGATGGACAGAAGGATGAAGGCATAAAAGTTGTATTTTTTAACGATTTTTTTTTAGTTATACATGGACACCTTTATTTATTTTTATGTGGTGCATAAACCCAGTACTTCACACGTGCTAGGCAAGTGCTCTACCACTGAGCAAAAACCCCATCCCCTGAAAATTGTAGTTTTAAGATACAGTTGCTAAACTGGGAAGAAAAAGTAGTGGAAATAATCCAGACAATAAATGTAAAAAAGAATCAAGACCACAGATGTAGAGGTTGCTTTTGAAAAGCAAAGGGAAGAGGAAATGAGGAGGGAATAAAATTAATTAGCTAGGTAATTTTGAAGGTAATAATAAGGAGACTGAGAGGATGCATTTCAGCTGGTTTCAGTATATTTGCCTTCAAACCAAAGTGAGAATTACTGGTCCAGAGATGGTTCTAAGTGAGGAAACGGGTAGAATTGGGTCAATCTGTGACTATTCATTTCTCTTCTCCATAACTACCAAGCTTAGGGAAGAATGTGGCCTTGATGTCAGTAGTTGAGATGAGAACTGTAGCATCTCAGAAGCACTGGATATTTTGAAAGATAGTTAACTTTTCCTTCACTGAAACATGTCTTTGGGCATGCTAGGAATGCACTCGATTACTCAGCTGAGTCCTCATTTCCAGATAGCTAATGTTCTGATAGGACAGGTATTTCATGAAAATCCTTGAAAGTCTAACAAGATATACCAAACCAGGCTCATTGTGTAAACAGCAGACTCTATAGGTTTATTCTTTGAATACCAAAACTTGTTATTCTTTGTATATATGCCAATGAATTTGAAATGTAAAAGATTATTTATATCTGATAATTCTTTGGTATTTCAGTTCACTTTTCCCCTTTGAATTTCCATATTCTAATATTTTATACTTATTATACATGATTTATTAGATGTGGTTCCTATGTCTTCTCAAATGAGTGAATCAAGCAGCTTTCAGTGGGTTAGACCGGAGGATACAGTAAAAGAAGATACACCACTGTCCTGCATGGGTATGGAAAAATAGATTATTATAATAAGTAAATATCTAAGCTGATCAGTTCAGAGAACTTTCCTCAATGCAACTGAATTATACTTTCCACTGGACTGTTATCACAACTTTGGTCTTACTATATAGGAGGACAAATGGAGGAACAGGATATATACCTATAATAAAGTTGATTAAGTGATTGTTATAGGCTACACTAAACATGCATGCTGTTAAGTTTTTACTTCATTTTATATATTTATGCCCTGAAGGTCCTGCTTCGCTCCTCTGATTAGATATCCCCATTCCCTCAATCAGTCCACACCTTTACTTGTTATGTGTACATTGCCTATTAGATTTATGGTAACTGGAAATATAATCTCCCTTTTGGAAACTTAACTCCATGTTTAATTAAACTGATATTTGGTGTTTTCCTTCAGTATATTTCAATCATATTGCTGTACTCATAAAAAAAAAAAAAAACAGCAAACACAAAAGCCCAAAAGCTAAAGCATTCTTAATCAAAGCTATCCATGTTGATTCAGCAGGAAGGTGTGGGTGGTTTTGTCATATTTATGTTTTGTGGATTATATATCTCTCTCTTGCTTTTCAGCATTTCAGGATTTCACACATTGTTTTGTGAAGGTAATTATAAACTTCTATATTTATCTTGAATTATTGACTGTATATTTTATAAAATGTACAACATGTATTAATATCTGTTTTCCAAACCCATACAGCCAATCCTAGACAGGAGGTATTTTCTTCAAAAGAATATAGTGAGGAGAACAGAAGAAAGAATATGCAAATCAGGTAAATTTTGCAATGCAAGTTCTGTAGAACTATAATAAAATATTTGAAATGCTAGGAGATTTTCCTCTAATTAGTGGGGGGATTTGACAAAAAATAAACCAGTGTCTACCTTGGCATACAAGCTTAAAAGTATATCTTTAAAGACACAGCAAAATGATTTCTAAAAAATCTTTATTATTTCTAAATTTAAAGTTCCCCAGTTGGAATCCTTATGCCTGTTAGGTGAATTCCCCCTAGAGTTTATAAAAACTTATTGCATAGCTGCTGATAATTTCCAAATCTTGGGATTTGAACATAAACATATTTGTTTGAACCCAGGGATTAAGGGTAGTATGTGAAATAAGACCCACTTAAAATTTAATTTCTAGTATAATACCCACTGTATGGAATAATTACATTGAACTGTGTTGCACTTGATACATCTGTTTATTCTGTGTCTGTTGTCACTCATGTGATGGTGATAATCCATACAAAGTATTATTGGGTATTTATTTTATTCATTTCCTGTACTAATAGAGTATTTGTAGAAATTTACTATTTTCTGAAGTTGTTTTTAACCCAGAGTTATAAATTCAAAATTATGTACACAAACCATCATGTATATTCCCTTTTCATGTTTTCTTTGCTTGTTTTTTGCTTGGTTGTTTGCTTGGTTTATTTTTCAGTGGTGGGTACTGAGCACAGATCCTTTTGCATGCTAAGCACTGGCTCTACCACAAAGCTTTTCCCACAGACTGCTCTGATTCATTGGAGGGTTGCATAAATCCAAAATTAAGGAAATTGCTCCCCAAGCACTGAAATGAGTCCCTTCAACATAGGAAAATGTGAAATGGAAAGACTACATGGTAAACCCAAAGAACTTAAACAGTTGCTATTTTATTTCACATGTCATTTGAAATTTTGTGTAATACTCCAGAGCCTCATATTCCAGGGACTCGGCTTTGTCCTTTATTATTTAATGAAACTTCATTCTGCACTGGTCCCAGAAAATGATATATCCTCTGTGTTTCTTGAGACATTTTCCCATTCTGGCCTGCCTCCCTCTATTGGGCACTTCTGCTGCCTGCTCACGCATATGGTCTCCTCAGCATTTGGAGCCATCTAGCTACAATGCAAATGTGACCATGAACTTTTCTCTAGAACATGAAAGTCCAGCTTTTAAAATTACTCAGAAATCTCTCGTAACATGAGTTCAGCCGAACTCTTGATCCACTTCCCCTGCCTTCACTGTTCTCTGGCACTGCTTCTCACCAGTCTCTATTTTCAGACAAATATTGACTCATTTAATGCTTGACCCTGTGTCCGACTATAGCCTTTTAAGCTCTCCCCGCTTTCTGCCTCTGGCTGGTAACCTTAGTCCTTTAGTCTCTGCTGAGTTTCAGCTCCAGGAAAGCCACTATCTCTGGTACCCTTTTTCTCTACTCTTACTTACAAGGAACTTAATCAATTATGGGTTCAAATAAACTGTTGTTGCCAAGGTGATGTAAAAGAAGTCCCCTCAAGTCCAGGAGCCAAAGGGCTAGACAGGGGAAGGGGTAATTTACAAGTCAGCTGGTAGATATACAGTTGAACAGTAGCTGAAATGCTAAGGTACCCCAAGGAAAGAAAAACCACTTTATGACAAAGAGATTCATAATCATGCAGGACCGAACAAACAGATTGTCTTACAAAAAAACACATTTTTCGGAATAATGAAGAAAAACGTTGCAGATACAAGGTGTTCATTGATAACAGTGTAGAAAATATCAATCATTGTGGAAATGAATATTGATGAGTAATTGTTTTTAAAAGTTACCATTATGAAGGAAGAGAATAGCAAATAGTGTGAATCCCCACCTTTTGTTTTTTTTTTTATTTTTTTTTTAATTTTTTTATTGGTTGTTCAAAACATTATAAAGCTCTTGACATATCATATTTCATACATTAGATTCAAGTTGGTTATGAACTCCTAATTTTACCCCAGATACAGATTGCAGAATCACATCGGTTACACATCCACATTTTTACATAATGCCCTATTAGTAACTGTTGTATTCTGCTACCTTTCCTATCCTCTACCATCCCCCCTCCCTCCCCTCCCATCTTCTCTCTCCACCCCATCCACTGTAGTTCATATCTCTCCTTGTTTATTTTCCCATTCCCCTCACAACCTCTTATATGTAATTTTGTATAACAATGAGGGTCTCCCTCCATTACCATGCAATTTCCCTTTTCTCTCCCTTTCCATCCCACCTCATGTATCTGTTTAATGTTAATCTTTTCTTCCTGCTCTTCCTCCCTGCTCTGTTCTTAGTTGCTCTCATTATATCAAAGAAGACATTTGGTATTTGTTTTTTAGGGATTGGCTAGCTTCACTAAGCATAATCTACTCTAGTGCCATCCATTTCCCTGCAAATTCTATGATTTTGTCTTTTTTTAGTGCTGCGTAATACTCCATGGTGTATAAATGCCACATTTTTTTTATCCATTCATCTATTGAAGGGCATCTGGGTTGGTTCCACAGTCTAGCAATTGTGAATTGTGCTGCTATGAACATCGATGTAGCAGTATCCCTGTAGTACGCTCTTTTAAGGTCTTCAGGGAAAAGTCCAAGAAGGGCAATAGCTGGGTCAAATGGTGGTTCCATTCCCAGCTTTCCCAGGAATCTCCATACTGCTTTCCAGATTGGCCGCACCAGTTTGCAGTCCCACCAGCAATGTACAAGAGTACCCTTTTCCCCACATCCTCTCCAGCACTTGTTGTTGTTTGACTTCATAATGGCTGCCAATCTTACTGGCGTGAGATGGTATCTTAGGGTGGTTTTGATTTGCATTTCTTTGTATAGTGTTCTTAAAATCTAATTCTGGCAACTTTTCATTCATCTTGAGTGGATATAACTTTGAGACATTTTTGTGTATTGAATCTGGTGATACGTAATGTCTCCCAGGTAGAATGTTGAAGTTTTATATCACTAAAAGCATCCCCTGAAATAGTATATGCTAGGCACAGTGGATCACCTCTAAATCCAGCTACTTGGGAGGCTGAGACAGGAACACAAGTCTCAGGTCAGGACAAACACTTTAGAGAGACCCAGCCTCCAAAAAAAGGGGGGGGGGTCTTTTGGATACAACTCAGTGGCAGAGCACTTCCAACATTGCAAAGTCCTGGGGTTAAATCACCGAAGACACACAAGTATACCCCACTAATAAACAGTTAAAAAGGTAAACAGTCACCTAAAATTAAAGCATACTATTACTTTTTATTTTTGACAGACTCTCTGTCTTAATGTTCTCAGTAGTTTAAATAAATCTTACATGCATTTTTCAGCCAAACCACTTTGGTTCTCATCATCGGAAGAGGAGGAGGAGGAAAGTCTTGACGACACCAAAAATAAGCAGCCACAGGTGTGTACACACATCCTTTTAAATTCCTGGTTTTCTCCCGTTTTCCTTGTTTTAAGAAAGTCCGTAAAGCCAAATTGAATTATCTTTCATTACAGTGCTTCGAAATCCAAAGATGGTAATTTAATACTCAAGTCTAAAAGAATTTAACTGGTCATGAATCTGAAAATAGCATTAGAATTTATCATAACGTACAGGTAAATAGTATCCTTGTGATCAGGAAAGAAATTTTTCTGAATATTGTTTCTGCTTCCTTAAATGATGAAGAAGTTAAATGTAGTTGTGAATATCCATTTGAATTAATAAACATATATAGTGGCAATGGCCATTGAGTGCATTTAGGGTAAAGGATGGTCCTTCCAGGGGCTCACTTTTACTTACATACGAACATGCTTTCATGCCAAGGGGAAAGATTTTCATACGGCCTAGACATCAGCGTGTCTCTCAATGCAAATAGTAACCTCAAAAAAGATACCAATGGCCTATTAAGGAAAGTAAAACTTCCCAGAATGGGACCATTGCTTTTGGGTAAAAGCAGGAATTCTCTAGAGTTTTTTTCCCCTTTTCAAACCATAAGGCAGTCAATATTATTAGACATTTTTTATCCAACTTGTTTAGTGAGTGATAGAAAAAAAAGTCTTAGAATGCTGTTATTGGAGAATTAAGCAATTTGAAATGTTTCTTGCCTTTCCTTCTCACTTTATCTGTGTTAATAAGACTGAGGTTTTGCAAGCATTGGGATGGATTTCTGTTCTCAGGATATGTGTGGGCCCTTCAGTGCAAAGTCCTTTAGTGCCCTGGGCAGGGGTGATATCTCAGTGTCAAGTACCCA